ATAAAGATTTATTGGTACATATAAAGACATATAAGACGTATTGGTACATATAAAGACATATTGGTACATATAAAGACATATTGGTACATATAAAGACATATTGGTACATATAAAGATTTATTGGTACATATAAAGACATATTGGTACATATAAAGACATATTGGTACATATAAAGACATATTGGTACATATAAAGACATATTGGTACATATAAAGACGTATTGGTACATATAAAGACTTTTGGTACATATAAAAATTTATTGGTACATATAAAGACATATTGGTACATATAAAGACGTATTGGTACATATAAAGACGTATTGGTACATATAAAGACGTATTGGTACATATAAAGACATATTGGTACATATAAAGACATATTGGTACATATATAGACATATTGGTACATATAAAAACGTATTGGTACATATAAAGACATATTGGTACATATAAAGACATATTGGTACATATAAAGACATATTGGTACATATAAAGACATATTGGTACATATAAAGACATATTGGTACATATAAAGACATATAAGACGTATTGGTACATATAAAGACATATTGGTACATATAAAGACGTATTGTTACATATAAAGACATATTGGTACATATAAAGACGTATTGGTACATATAAAGACATATTGGTACATATAAAGACATATTGGTACATATAAAGACATATTGGTACATATAAAGACGTATTGGTACATATAAAGACATATTGGTACACATAAAAATTTATTGGTACATATAAAGATTTATTGGTACATATAAAGATTTATTGGTACATATAAAGATTTATTGGTACATATAAAGATTTATTGGTACATATAAAGACGTATTGGTACATACAAAAATTTATTGGTACATATAAAGACATATTGGTACATATAAAGATTTATTGGTACATATAAAGATTTATTGGTACATATAAAGATTTATTGGTACATATAAAGACGTATTGGTACATACAAAAATTTATTGGTACATATAAAGACATATTGGTACATATAAAGATTTATTGGTACATATAAAGATTTATTGGTACATATAAAGACATATTGGTACATATAAAGATTTATTGGTACATATAAAGACGTATTGGTACATATAAAGACATATTGGTACATATAAAGATTTATTGGTACATATAAAGACATATTGGTACATATAAAGATTTATTGGTACATATAAAGACGTATTGGTACATATAAAGACGTATTGGTACATATAAAGACGTATTGGTACATATAAAGACATATTGGTACATATAAAGACGTATTGGTACATATAAAGACATATTGGTACATATAAAGACGTATTGGTACATATAAAGACATATTGGTACATATAAAGACATATTGGTACATATAAAGACGTATTGGTGCATATAAAGACGTATTGGTACATATAAAGACATATTGGTACATATAAAGACTTATTGGTACATATAAAGATTTATTGGTACATATAAAGACATATTGGTATATATAAAGACATATTGGTATATATAAAGACATATTGGTACATATAAAGACATATTGGTACATATAAAGACATATTGGTACATATAAAGATTTATTGGTACATATAAAGACGTATTGGTACATATAAAGACATATTGGTACATATAAAGATTTATTGGTACATATAAAGACATATTGGTACATATAAAGATTTATTGGTACATATAAAGACATATTGGTACATATAAAGACATATTGGTACATATAAAGATTTATTGGTACATATAAAGACAGATTGGTACATATAAAGATTTATTGGTACATATAAAGACATATTGGTACATATAAAGACATATTGGTACATATAAAGACATATTGGTACATATAAAGACATATTGGTACATATAAAGATTTATTGGTACATATAAAGATTTATTGGTACATATAAAGACGTATTGGTACATATAAAGACATATTGGTACATATAAAGACTTATTGGTACATATAAAGATGTATTGGTACATATAAAGACATATTGGTACATATAAAGACATATTGGTACATATAAAGACATATTGGTACATATAAAGACATATTGGTACATATAAAGACGTATTGGTACATATAAAGACGTATTGGTACATATAAAGACGTATTGGTACATATAAAGACATATTGGTACATATAAAGACGTATTGGTACATATTGGTACATATAAAGACGTATTGGTACATATAAAGACATATTGGTACATATAAAGACGTATTGGTACATATAAAGACATATTGGTACATATAAAGAGGTATTGGTACATATAAAGACATATTGGTACATATAAAGACGTATTGGTACATATAAAGACATATTGGTACATATAAAGACATATTGGTACATATAAAGACATATTGGTACATATAAAGACGTATTGGTACATATAAAGACATATTGGTACATATAAAGACTTATTGGTACATATAAAGATTTATTGGTACATATAAAGACATATTGGTATATATAAAGACATATTGGTATATATAAAGACATATTGGTACATATAAAGACATATTGGTACATATAAAGACATATTGGTACATATAAAGATTTATTGGTACATATAAAGACATATTGGTACATATAAAGATTTATTGGTACATATAAAGATTTATTGGTACATATAAAGACATATTGGTACATATAAAGACATATTGGTACATATAAAGATTTATTGGTACATATAAAGACGTATTGGTACATATAAAGATTTATTGGTACATATAAAGATTTATTGGTACATATAAAGATTTATTGGTACATATAAAGACATATTGGTACATATAAAGACATATTGGTACATATAAAGATTTATTGGTACATATAAAGACGTATTGGTACATATAAAGATTTATTGGTACATATAAAGATTTATTAGTACATATAAAGATTTATTGGTACATATAAAGACGTATTGGTACATACAAAAATTTATTGGTACATATAAAGATTTATTGGTACATATAAAGACATATTGGTACATATAAAGATTTATTGGTACATATAAAGATTAATTGGTACATATAAAGATTTATTGGTACATATAAAGATTTATTGGTACATATAAAGATTTATTGGTACATATAAAGATTTATTGGTACATATAAAGACGTATTGGTACATACAAAAATTTATTGGTACATATAAAGATTTATTGGTACATATAAAGATTTATTGGTACATATAAAGACGTATTGGTACATATAAAGATTTATTGGTACATATAAAGACTTATTGGTACATATAAAGACGTATTGGTACATATAAAGATTTATTGGTACATATAAATATTTATTGGTACATATAAAGACGTATTGGTACATATAAAGACATATTGGTACATATAAAGACATATTGGTACATATAAAGACATATTGGTACATATAAAGACATATTGGTACATATAAAGATTTATTGGTACATATAAAGACGTATTGGTACATACAAAAATTCATTGGTACATATAAAGACATATTGGTACATATAAAGATTTATTGGTACATATAAAGACATATTGGTACATATAAAGATTTATTGGTACATATAAAGACATATTGGTACATATAAAGACATATTGGTACATATAAAGATTTATTGGTACATATAAAGACATATTGGTACATATAAAAATTTATTGGTACATGTAAAGACATATTGGTACATATAAAGACGTATTGGTACATATAAAGACGTATTGGTACATATAAAGACGTATTGGTACATATAAAGACGTATTGGTACATATAAAGACATATTGGTACATATAAAGATTTATTGGTACATATAAAGACATATTGGTACATATAAAGACATATTGGTACATATAAAGATTTATTGGTACATATAAAGATTTATTGGTACATATAAAGACATATTGGTACATATAAAGATTTATTGGTACATATAAAGACATATTGGTACATATAAAGATTTATTGGTACATATAAAGACATATTGGTACATATAAAGACATATTGGTACATATAAAGACATATTGGTACATATAAAGATTTATTGGTACATATAAAGACATATTGGTACATATAAAGACGTATTGGTACATATAAAGATTTATTGGTACATATAAAGATTTATTGGTACATATAAAGACGTATTGGTACATATAAAGACATATTGGTACATATAAAGACATATTGGTACATATAAAGACGTATTGGTACATATAAAGACATATTGGTACATATAAAGACGTATTGGTACATATAAAGACATATTGGTACATATAAAGATTTATTGGTACATATAAAGATTTATTGGTACATATAAAGATTTATTGGTACATATAAAGACATATTGGTACATATAAAGACTTATTGGTACATATAAAGATCTATTGGTACATATAAAGACATATTGGTACATATAAAGACAGATTGGTACATATAAAGACAGATTGGTACATATAAAGACATATTGGTACATATAAAGACATATTGGTACATATAAAGACATAGTGGTACATATAAAGATTTATTGGTACATATAAAGACATAGTGGTACATACAAAGATTTATTGGTACATATAAAGACATTGGTACATATAAAGACGTATTGGTACATATAAAGACATATTGGTACATATAAAGACATATTGGTACATATAAAGACATATTGGTACATATAAAGATTTATTGGTACATATAAAGACATAGTGGTACATACAAAGATTTATTGGTACATATAAAGACATATTGGAACATATAAAGACATGGAGAGGGGACTTTTAAGTTGAAATTGTAAAAAAAAAAATATTTATTTCGTTTCATTTCGTTTCGTTTTGCCTTATTTCGTTTCGTTTCGTTTCGTTTTGTTTTGTTCCGTTCCGTTTCTATTAAGTTTCGCACTTTACAGATATCCCCATTTTAATATTTGTTCATGCACTGACTTATTGACTGACTCTGACGGGGTATACAGTATGAAAGTACTTTGATTTTCTTTTCGCTTTGGTATTTACATCATAGGTTTTCTATTTCTTTATTCCGATTGGTTACTCTGTGAACTCTTTTTGATATTGAGGCACTCTTTTCAAATTCTTCACAGATCTAGAGATATAGAACACTGACACTTTATTGTGATATATGAGGGGCCTGATGGGTTATTTTCGTTCTTCGTGATCGGCGCATTTTCGCTATCGTGATCCGTTTTTCTACAGATTTATTATTTTTTTTATATTTTCGTGATCCGTGATCATGGAAATTTATTTTCTGTGAATCGTGATTGACAAAAAAATCAACTCGTGAATCGTGATGAGACCCCCCCATCAGGCCCCTCATATATATAAATTTATTATTCTTCTCCTGGAAACCACTTAATATTCAGGTTAGTCAGTCATATTCTTTTCATTAGTCTTTGGTGCATATATTTCCTATATTTTTATCTTTGTATGAAGGATATGAATGTGTTATGAAAACGTGTATGAAAGTCCAGTTTGATTCCCATAAAGGGAATACGATAGTTACAGGGGAGGTAATGACGTTGCTAACGTAAAATGTTATTTTTCGCGACGTCAAACAGTGCCATATCGGAAAAAAGATACATTTTTCGACTGTTTTTATCATTCAAACTGATTTAATTTGAAAGAGTTCATGGACCCCTAGCTAGCTCTTATTTAAAATGACACTAGGTTTGATAACGTATGAAGATTATTTGTACCAATTTTTATGAAAAAGTCACTGATGATTTTTTTTTTTAATTAGATAAATATACAGCAAAAAATGCCGTTTTTTTCTAAAATCCTGAAACTTTGATCAGTAAAAAATAATTATTTCCAAAGAATTGTTATACAAATTTAGAGCATACTTATGTTAAGAAGATTTTCCATTTTTTGTACAAAAATCCGCTTGTGTTTGTCTTTTGAAACAAAAAAGTTAGGTATGTCTATATCCAAGGATAGAAATGTCCGTCCAAAAGAACGAAATTTTGAGTAAAAATAATTTCGACCCCAATTATCTCTTAAAGTAGCACATGAAGGTACATTTTTTATTGCATATTTGAATTGCTTAGGTGAAAAATAACTTGTATGCTTTTCGTCAAAAATTCACCGTGGGATCGAAACTGTATCGTATGCCCTTAATTTTTCATATTTGGCTTTTATTAGATTCCAGCATAGAATGTTGTCTTGCATTGAGTTAAACTATATTATATATTATTTTTGGAATTATGAAGTCAATATTTCTTTATATTCAGATTCCAGTATGTGAAGTATGTAGACGTACAGTAACTTCATAGAGGAGCACTGTTCAACCCCTGTATTATATACACAATAAGCTGTTTTTTGTTTGTTGTAATGTGTTATTATTTAGTTTACGATTATATCTTTACCAATTTTTTTGTTTAGCTGACCGTTCCGAAGGAACGGTGAGCTCTTGCCATCACTTGGCTTCCGTCGTCGTCTGTCGTCGTCCGTCTGGTGTAAACTATTTCAAACATCTTCTCCTCTGAAACTACTGCACCAATTCCAACCAAACTTAAGCTGAATGATGCTTAGGGAATCTAGAATAAAGTTTTTGTTTTATTTACTGTTTCGTCAAATAACATGGCCGCCATGGCTAAAAATAGAACATAGTGGTAAAATGCAGTTTTTTGCTTATATCTCAAAAACCAAAGCATTTAGAGCAAATCTGACATGGGGTTAAAGTGTTCATTAGGTCCAGTTATATCAGCCCTGAAATTTTCAGTTGAATCTGATAACCCATTGTTGGGTTGCTGCCACTAAATTGATAATTTTAAGGAAATTTTGCAATTTTTGGTTATTATCTGTTTTATTTTCTGTTTCGTAAAGAACATGGCCGCCATGGCTAAAAATAGAACGTAGGGGTAAAATGCAAGTTTTGGCTTATATCTCAAAAAACCAAAGCATTTAGAGCTAATCTGATGGAGGTAAAAATGTTTATTAGGCCAAGCTCTGGCAGCCCTGAAATTTTCAGATGAATCTAACAACCTATTGTTGGGTTGCTGCCACTTAATTGGTAATTTTAAGGAAATTTTGCAGATTTTGGTTATTATCTTGAATATTATTAATGATAAAGATAAACTGTAAACAGCAAAAATGTTCAGCAAAGTCAGATCTACAAATAAGTTCGTATGAACAAAATTGTCAATTGTCCCCTTAAGAAGTTATTGCCCTTTAAAATCAATTTTTCACAATTTGTTCATTTGGTTTGCTTACTTCAAAAAATCTTCTCCTTTGAAACTACTGAATCAATTTCAGCCAAACTTGGGCTGAATGAGTTTCAGAGTATCTAGTATAAATTTTATTTTCTTGTACGTCAAGAAACATAGCCACTATGGCAAAATGAAACATATGGGTAAAATACATTTCTTTGATTTTGAAGAAAATATGATAGATACAAAGAACATTTCAATGGAAGTTTTAAGCCATTCATTAATATATATTGAAAAGCAAAAATAATCATTGATGAAAGATTTAAGCAAAAAATTACAGGTGAGCAATTCAGGCTCTTGAGAGCGGCCTCTTGTTCGTTTGGTTTTTTTTTTTTTTTATTTTAGCACTCAGACTGTAGGATGTGAAGATAAATTTTAACATAAACATCTCAATATGACTTAAGTTATAAGTAAAACTAAGAATTTATTAGTATAAAATATTATTAATTAAGATTGTTACAGAGTGTCGAACAAATATGCACAGAAAGAAGCTAGGTTTGTGCATTCAAGATCATATGATTATTACCAGAGAGTTAGCCTAAGCTATTTTCTAACCAACTAATTAGAAATAATGTATTTAAAATCAGTAATATCTGGATGAGGGCCTCAACCTTCCTTCTCACGTTGGTAGAAGAGGTATATGTCGCCAAATAATGTCATCATTGTGCTCCGAACATTAAACATGAGTATTTCATTTAATAAAGAATATAACATATACACACAAATTATAATAAATATAAGTAGCATGTTTTACTGCATTATATTATTTTTATCTAAGTATATATCTCTATTTCTATGAAAGGTAGTGGTTAGAGTCTGAACTAAACCACTGGAATTAATATTATGACTAAGTTGACATACTGAATAAACATATGCATATATAAATGGGAAAAGTTCCCATGGTATCTTGAATAACAGACAAGTGAATGCATTTAAAACAAAATTTTGATCATTTATTTCTATTCTAATGAAGTCATTGATATATTTTCTAAATAGTCTTAATTTGTTACAATATAGCAGGAAATGCTTTAATGTTTCATTTTCCGAGTTGCAAAAATAGTATTTAGGAGAAATGTTAATATAATTTCTTCTTATTAGATTATCTTTAGTAGGAAGAGCATTATGAACAACTCTATAAATAAAATCTTGCTGATAATTGCTTTTGATATTGTTAATATTAGACCATATATCTGTGAAATCGACATAGCTGTACTTAATTTTGATTTTATGTTTATGATTTTTTTTTTAAGAATTTTCTTATAAATATTTGTTAATTGGGTTGTAACTTTGTATGTCAATTTTATTTATATAATTCATTAAAAGAGCTTTTAATTATGTGTAAACTTTTGGTAAGAGCATTGAGTGTTCGTAATTATGATCTCCTAATTCTCAAATAATTGTCCTTATTAATGTATTAACCTAAGTAATATATCATAAAACTTGACAACCCATGAGGTTTTTGCATTGTTTTTAACGACCTTGACTATCCATGAGGGTCTTGCACGGTCGGTAGAATTGTGTATTAGAATAGATTACTTTAAATAATGATCCTTGATACAAGGTGTACAGTTACTGATATCTATAATATTGCAGTTTGATCAGTTACCGGATATAGACTTTGGTACATATGCTTATGATTTGTAGTTATAAACGTATTTTATTAATTATGGCATATTTCAAGCTGAAGTTAACTACTTGGATAATTTATATTTGATTGTATTGATATGGAGATAATTAGAGTTATCGTTCTTAGTACGTGTGTACTGTTGTCGTATTATATGTTTTATATATTACAGGGTATTTTAATTTTGTTTGAGATTGCCTATAATAAACCATATAACAGTTGAACGGCAAACGCCTGAATCTGACAGATAGAGGTCAATTTGTCGACAAAAAAAGTACCCGTATGTAAAATGTTTACGCCCACAAACAGCGCCACCATTAATTTTTTCTACGGCGTCTTTGAGAACGATGTTCCGTTCTGTAGTAAATTAAAACATTAAATTAACTAAAACATAGAAAAGTAAGTGTATAAAACTAATTAAAAGATATATTTGCACATGACTGGTTATGAGTGATACGCTGGCAATGTGCGCAATGTCCTTTAATCCAAGATTCAAAATTAGTTTGTTTCCTATGTCAAAATGGCGGATTCCATTGTTTACATTTTTCCATCGATTTGAGAGCTGACACAAATTCGTATCCAATCATTAATTTGCATATTATGTACTGTGTAGGGTAGCTTATCCAATGGGATTTACTGTTATAAAGTGGCTATACGTTACCAGCCATCGTTACAACAGTGCCATGTGTTTTGTGTGTATAGCTCAGGAATGATGTGTATTCAATATTTACGGTAAATAATCAATGTTATGTTCATTATATTTCCATGCATACACAAGTCATAACAGCAAATGCATTTTTTATAGAACTTACTAGGTAAACAGACATGTTTAACTGTCTGCTTTAGCAAACATTCGTGTAAATAAACCCGATGGGTCGTTTTGAATATTCAAGCACAGCAGACAAACACGTGGTAGATTATTGATGTTTGTTTACCTAAATTGCACGCTGTTATCGTGTTATTATTGTTTAACAGCAGATAAAATTAATTTTACAATTGCATTTAACTACTTTCAAGAGTTATATAATACACCTTGCCTAAGAAATAGGTCTAGCTAGGTCCATGGACCTCCTTTACTAGGTCCTTAAAAAAAAGAGGCTGTAATAATGTACATGATGTAAATTACCATATTTTCATTCCAGCATTTTTTTTGCATTTGATATATTTCATATACATGTACATGTATGTACATAGAGAACAATAGAGTAAATGAACATACATGGGTTTAATTCCCACCCTAGGTATTAATTTTAATACTCATTAGAGGTTGGAGCAAATAGGGCAGATTGCAATCGATCATAATGTAGTGTCTAAAAATGCTGATTGATGTGGCCAAGTCCTCAACAACCTTTTTTCTAAGTATACACATGTACAGCAGCTCCTTTAAGGATTAGTAAGGGAACACTTTACATATAGTCCAGTGGCTAAGTCCTGTCTTTTTTGTCTCTATTATTTCCTTATTTATATTATATTTCTTATATTCTCTTGTACATGTAGTAAGCTAAAAAGCTATCATTACTCTTTTTCCTCATCTGCCTGATAACAATGAAATGTATTCATTGTTGATGTCTGTAAAGTGACTTATAATTTAACTGCTAACAGAAATTTGGACTCTGGTGGATAGTTTCTATACTGTTATCTCATTGGCAATCATACCACATCTCTTTATTTTAGTACAGGTTAAGTATTTAAAGTAAGTGACTAACAAACATTAAATCATTTGAAAGAAAAATTCTGCAATGATTTCAGTTTACATATATCAACAATAAGATTTGGTTGTATAAATTGTGTCATTATGTTTATAATGACCACTGTAATTGTGAACTGCCATGACTGTCTTGTACAAAATATATTTGAATAAGTTCCCTAATGAATAGTATATAGATGTTTAAAAAAACAAATGTATGTACTAGTTCCAGATCTATCAATTCAAAAATAATTGATGTTTTTTTTAATTAATTGAATAATAACAACTTATTGCAATACTCATGATGATCATGATATTAAAATACAAACTAGCATTCTTATATGTGATACATATATAACTTAATGCAGCTTATTCTGAAATTGTAAGGTATGTCATAAAAAAGAGATTTTTTGTAAAAGTTACCAAAATTGTCTGTATTTCAACCACATTTAGGCCTAGGAACCTTAAATTTTTAAGTGTAGAGGTTGACAAGGCATGACTGTAAATTCAGATATTATCATGAGGTTTTTATTAAAGTAAATAATGCGATTAAATTGATTATCTCAATAAAAAGAACTCTCATTCTGATTTGATACTATGAGATTTTTTCTGATATCAGAAAAATAAATATCTCATTGTTGTCCATTCTTCAAAAAATTTCTGAACATACTGTACATGTATTTAAGTCAGCTTTGTTTTTGTCTGAGACTACTATAACATGGGAAGTGACCAATCTCTATGTTAATTGTTATAGTAGTCTCAGGTTTTTGTTTTGTAGTTCAATTGACTATGCATTTTAGAGCAGTTAAATATGAATTTGGATTAAATTTGAAGTTGATTCAGTATATTTTATGACATAATAACACTCTTTTATTTAAACAAAGCATTTTCAGACTTTATTTACAGACCAGCTTAGCTAATCATTCATTATTCAATCAATAATTTAATTAAAAGACTCAACAGTTGTTTGTAGGACTTATGAATTCAAATATAAGGGAAAAAAATCAAAACTTGAAGTAATACATGCAATAGGAATTATGAGAACTGTATGATATCAGATTGCAATACAGCTTTTTGTTCAGTTTTCTTTGTGTTGATTATAATGTTTTTAAATCCCTTTCTGGCTTTTTGGATGTTCAGATTTTTTCTCTTAATTAAGAGCGAGCAACGGAACTTGTACATCTTATATAGTTTCTTATCTCGGGGGTGGATCAAGCAAATTTTCAAAGAGGAGGGGGGCATGTATTGTCTACATTTTCTTTTTTTCCATATTGTATTTTAATGTAATGCAAAGTTAAATTCTATTGTAACACAAGTTCTGCTGACAAATGGCTGATAAACCCCTCTTGTATGTAATTATTTGGCATGAAATGAAATATGTTTTTTCTGTATATGGAAATTAGGAATAATCCACCCTCTCTTTATAAAAGACCTGGATCTGCTTAAAAGTTCTTGCTTTTCTCAGAATTTTCCATTGTTACATCAGGAATAAAGGCTACCAATAATCATGCTTGACAATCATTGAGGTCACACATAAAGAACCCATCTCTTTGTAGATCATAGTAGAAAAACAAAGATACAATGTAGTTGGTAACATAAATGTATTTAAAAATATCAAGAGAAACATTTCCATACAGAATCTCTGTCAATAAGTTATTTTTCCACTCTTAACAGTGAAATCTTAAATATGTAAATTGATCGGCAAGCCTCACATCTTGAAAAATAAAATGTCTGTAGGAAAGAACTATTGTTTCACAATTGATGCTGTGTTAGAATTTATAATATCACTCTTTTTTCTCCATATGATCAGCATAAAAAGTGACAAGTTCTTCAGTCTAAATAACTTTGTTAAATCTCATTTCTGGTGGAACATTTTCAGTGCACCAGATTAACAACTTTCTATGTTAGATACTTATTTAAATATAAAAATTCAAGTCTAATTTTAGAGTGAAATTTTAATATATTTAAACAAACTGTTCTAAACAACCAACATGTACAAACGCTGAGTTTATTTTCATATCCTTTCTAAGAATATTGATACAAAGAAAGTAAAACAAAGACTTGTATCATTCCATCTACCAAAAGGGTGTTTGAGAATATACAAATAAGTCCAAGTTTCAGAGAAAAGTCAGTTATCTATAATTTTCTTCTTTGGAAGTTTTCAAAAACCTGTTTTAGGGTACTTGAAAAAATGCCATATTCAAACATTCCATGACTATTTTAATGTTACAAGAGTAGAGGAACATAAAATATTGAATGGTTATTCAAGAAAGTGTCGAAATATAACTACAATCATTAATTTTACTCGAATTTACTGTTGTGAACTTGCAGTTTCCTACGACGCGTGTACGGAGTTATCTCCCGTTGATCTCCGCTTCGCCACGAATAAGCTGACACAATTGCGTATCCGGGGAATTTATGATCTATAATTAATATATAAGATGCAGAAAATGGTTTTACTTCATATTTTATACCCCTCCATACGTTACCAAACCCATTTAAGAAATGATTTGGGATTTTCCGTAGACCTACGCGAATTTTCCAAAAAAAATTTCAACTTCCATCGTTGTTTTAGAATACTTTTATAACACCTTTCATAAATAAGTATACATAATAATGAAGCTTATTCACTCAAGATTTGGACCCTACAAGTTTTATTTATGTACGAGTTACAATTAGACGATACGAGGTAAAAAACCAAGAGGTGTACACGTTCACAAGAAAACGGTAAACTCTGACCTTTTATCACGTGACCAATGTCTTGAACTTAGACGCCATTTAATGAATGGCTATTATTTATTTTGAATTTATTGAACCATAAAATTAATTTTTGACTCTTCACATTGAATAATCCGCGAAGCGGATTATGTAAAATGTGAAGAGTCAAAAATTAATTTTATGGTTCAATAAATTCAAAATAAATTATTGCCATTCATTATAAATAAATGTCTATAAAAAAAAAAGGCTCAAAGAACTTTTTATATTATTTATATTAACAATAACAACGTAACGTCACATGGTGGTGTATGAATACATAACGTCAGAGAGAATGAATGAACTGTCATGGCCTCCACGTCATTGGAATGTTATGAGACAGGTAAGCTCTTTTCCAAAAACAACAGTTTACTGTGGATTATTGATTTGAAATGTGCAGTTATGGAAAGAGGAGTTAGAAATAAACCCTGACGACATGAAGTTGTTTGACGATAAGGCGGTATTCATAGTGTTTACGTTTGGGGTGTCACGAGCCGCCAAAACTGAGCTCACACTGGCAGGTTTGTTTTGTACAGCCATCGGCATTGGCATCGCAGTCTGTGGCGGTGCACGTCCTGTGGATAGAGTTGAAAGTGTGTCACTCATTGATTTCTTTTGGAGGGTAGAACAGTCCCGACTGTAGCTTCGTACAGACGCCTCATTCCGGTGACCGCTCATATACATAATATGCCGGATTTCGAAGCCAGCGTCACTCATTGCTTGGATCGCTGTTGCCCGGAGACAATGAGCTGTGTACATTACACTACAGGAGGCATCTGCCATGAATCTTGTGAATTGGTAAGATTTGACCGATTTGTTAGTGTACCATAGTTGTAAAATGTTCGGAGTTTTGGACGACAACGCATCTTTATTAATGTGATTGAAAAGTGAAGTTGCATCTGGATCAGTTTTCAAAATCAGCAATTTCAATGAAGCAACTGGGCAGCGATCGCCTTCACATGAATACATTCGTTTGTCATTCATAGTTTCTCCAGAGTCTAATCCGCCTTGCCAATTTTTCTGTTTCATTTCGTGTGATAAACAGGCATATTCACGATTGTTTTCATCTAAGTGGAATTCAAACGAGTTTATCTGAAGTTGTTGATGAAACTCTATCCCACGGGTCACAAAATGCATAGCAATATTATACCACACACGGAATCTTAGGATAATTGGATCATCAGATGAGTACAGGTAAGAATTTATCTTTTCCAAATCATTCATGGTTATAATCTGTTTATGTTTTGTAGGACGAGAGAGACCTTTTTCGAGGTTTTTCTTTAATTTTCCATCAAGAGTTTCATTCGCCTTCCTAAATTCTTTATCGCGAACGATATCAATATCCCTATCTAAATCATGAATGTGGCGGTTGATTGCTGCCCTTATGTTTTTCATTGAATTTTTGTGATACTCTTTTGACTGGGCAGTTGACATTTCCTTGCCTCTTTTTTCGGAAAATTTTGGGGTTGCCTCGGCGTAAAATTTACCCAAAACATTGTTTAATTCCTCTGTTTCAGTAGTTGCGAAATCCAATACTTGATCCAGGGCTTCCATACACCATTCTGAAAAATAACAAAATAAGAAATTCAATTTGATTTTCAAACATAGGAAAGAGGAAATATTCAATATTGGTAGAAAAACAGCAAATAAAATTTATTATATAGATTCAGATAGCTCAGTGGCAGAGCGCTCATGTTTTTTGAGAGGTCCCAGGTTCAAATCCTGGTCTGAATTTACATTGTTTTATTTTGAGTGTATAGAACAGTTGTGTTTGTACATTGTATTTAACTCATTTAACTGTCAGAGTATAACAAAATCATAAACAGTGTTTCCATAAGTTTGTATTTACCTTGGAAAACTTTGACTCCCCACTTTGTGTTTTGTTTGGTTGATTTAGCCTGTCGACTTTCTTGCAGGTCTTTCAGTTCTTCTGAGGTAACAGTTTTAAATCGTTTCTGTGTTTTTTGAAGCCCAGAAACTGTAGGCCTTTCAACTTCAACCGGCTTGGGTGCCAACGGAATCTGAGATGGGGCTTGTGGATGCGTTTGTTGTGCCAATCCAGGATTTTCGGGAGCAATGTTTAGCTCAACAAGTTCAATATTTTGCAAGTTATCTTTAAACAACCATCCCAATAAATCTTCTTCACTGTACGAGTCCATTTCAATCAGCTTTTCGCCCCCACCGATGTCGAAATCCGGCACCTCTTCCATCTTTGCCTTACTAGTATTGAGCAGACGACAGGAGTTGGGGAGGGACGGAGTCATACATGTACATGTAGTTCGGGGTTAGATGGGTAGGATAACACATTTAAAACATTGAAAACAACAAATGATTGAACAAAACTTTATTGTTTTGCTCTAAATCGTATTGCTACGAATGTATCAAGTAAAAGAATTTTCGAATCAATAAAAAAGTAGTTCCGGTAAAAGTGGGCGTGTCGCCATAAAAATTGACAACATTGAAAATAAAAGTAATACTTTTAACCAATCAGAAAACAGTAAATACACCAAATTTATTTATTAACATGTTAAAGCGTTTGCCGTTCAACTGTAAACCCTACTCAGAGTTATTTATACCCTATCTGATGAGTCTTCAACTTGGTCTTGTTATGATCTGTTATGGTAATCGTTTGCTATAGTCAAGGACGTATATTAGATTATGTTAGTTATACGTCCTTGCTATAGTGTACCCATTCAGACCCTCGGCGGCGACACTTGAGCATGTGTGAAGGGGTAAATTCAGTAAATAAATATACGTCATCAGGGACCGATTTGGGGGAGAGCTTTCTGTACAAAACTGAAGTCCTGTGCTCTTCTGATTGGTAGATAATGTTTGTAATAAATATTTTTTGATAGATGGATCAAAACTAGAGTTAAAAAAAATTAAAAAATGAATGCTGAATGTACTAAATTTTTTTACTACAGGGTTGAAAAGTAATGGGGGTCAGTAAAGGAATTAAGTGCGAATCTACAGTGTTTGTAAACAAGGCCATGTGAATGCCCAAAAATGCCGCATGACCCTATGTTTTTATTGTTGCAAAAGATAGGGCTACATTTGTACTTTCATGAATGATATATGAAAGCTTCCAATTTCTAAAGGTAAATCAGGTATAAATTTAATTCAAGACATAGATTAGCATTAAAGTCAATGGGAGATTTTTTACTGAATTTACCCCTGAATTGTGAAACCGGAACATGCTAGATATTGACATCAACACTGACAACAGAACACAGTTTTTTTGTGAATGAAAAAAAATATTCAATTATTATAACCTGATACAGTGATTTTAATGTATCGAAGCTTATTTATATGATGACAATATACTCTTGGGTAATGAATTGAAGTGTTGTCATAATATTTAATGATTTTGTTTATGAAATACACGTGTTGAAAAACTTAGAAAAAAAAGGCCAAAACATTTTACTTTTACTTTATCATGTTTATTATATTTGTAACACTCAGAAACGTGTCCATCCTCCCAAACGTGTCCGATTCCCCCAAACGTGTCCATATATGACGTCGCTGAACTGCAAAATATGTCTAGTTGCCAAAGGGCGCCAAAACGTGTTGTTTATAAGTGCCCAATTGTGTCCATTTAATTAAAAAAAAAGGCCAAACGTGTCTGGTTTATATGAAATCGTAAAGTCTCCATTTTAAAAGCACAGAAACCACTTTTGCATGAAGCAGGTCGTACAATACCCTCATACATTATATAGCCATTTAGGTATCATCGAAGAATATTAGTACAATTGAATCCACTTAGTAAACAGTTATTAAAACTGTACATAACTAATAAATTGCAATGTTTATGTTTTTTCTAAATACGCATGACATATTTGCCACTGGACATTAAGCAATCAACATTCAATAGTTAATTATGTGTTGCAAATTTAGCTTGCATATACTTAATAAAAAAGAACCGGCGTTGAACAAATTAATGCTAATAAATTACCACTTAATTAACAGTGAAGCATCGTGAAAATTTACAAGATACAATATATTGAATTTTTAATTGTGAAATACCTCTATCTGAACTTTATATAAAACATTATTAAAACCGCTTTAAGCAAATGTTAAGTGAAAATAACTTTTTATTGTGGGATTCTTTTTTAACCTGGTGTCTATTATTTTGAAAGCAGAAGTCACTGTGCATAGTGTAGCATGTCTTGAACAATTGTCTATACGGCTTACTAAACTTTCCTCCAGATTTCTTTTGGGTAGCTGCTTTGATTTTTTAAGAATTCAACCGAACCCAACGTCTTTTATTGTATCCCACGCCATATAATTGCCGTAAACGTTTTTGACTTCACAGAGTTATATTGGCGCATATTATATGTATTTTCAGTAATATAATTTGTATAAGTTCTTACCATCATCATTGATCATGACCATATATCATGTATATACAGGAAATCTGTCAATTTCAAATATCTACAAATAAATATATACAAATTTGGCAAGGGACAACAAATAATATCTTTAAGAATTGTTTCTGAACATGCTGAAATAGATATTTAATAACATTTTTAAAAAATATACATGTACATGAAATGTTCACTTATAAATCAATCATAACTTTTTGCAAATATGAGGTTGTCTATTAAATTGTTTTGTCATAAAATACTTTTAATAAACAGACAAATGCCAGGGCCAGGTGAGCTAAAAATATGGGGTAATAACCATTTGATTCTGGACAAAAAACTGTATCTTTTACATGTGCATGATGAACTGAGTTGTACAAAGCCATAAAGATTGCAAATAATATGCTTTTGCCCACATGGTACTTCTCAAAATTTTATGATTGTCTTCTCTTATTCAGACTGCAGGCCATTTTGATAAAACAAAAGACGTAAATTCACCAAGACCACGAAGAAAATAAATGTCTGACAATGTAAAGTATGCGGTAAAGGGTTTAGTACGAGTCGGAATTTACAAAGACATTGGAAAATACACACTGGTGATAAACCCCATGAATGTACAGTATGCGGTAAAGGCTTTAGTATGAGTAATCACTTAAAGGGGCACATGAGAATACATACTGGTGATAAACCCCATGAATGTTCAGTATGCGGTAAAGTGTTTAGTATGAGTATATACTTAAAGGTGCACATGAGGATACATGTAGGCGATAAACCCCATGAATGTTCAGTATGCGGTAAAGAGTTTAGTTTGAGTAAATACTTAAAGAGTCACATGAGAATACATACAGGTGACATACGTCATGAATGTACAGTATGCGGTAAGGGATTTAGTACGCGTCAGAACTTACGTAGACATGAGTATATACACACTGGATATAAACCTTATAAATGTGGAGAATGTGGTAAGGAGTTTAGTCAGGAGCAGTGCTTAAAACAACACTTTTATGTGCATACTGGTGAAAAGCCTTTAAAATGTAGTGTATGTGGAAGAGGGTTTGCTGGTGGTTGGAACTTACAGAGACACATCAAAACACACACAGGTGATAAACCTCATAAATGTGACAAATGTGATAAAGAATTCATTCAAAGGATTGACTTACAGAGACACATGAGAACACATACGGGAGATAAACCTTATAAATGTGATGTGTGTGGAAAAGGATTTAGTCAGAGTCATAGCAGAGATACACATGCAAGATCACACTCTGGTGATTAACCTTTTAAACCTTGTGAATGATACATGTATGTATGTTATATGTGTATATTTTGTGTAGAAAAGGATTCGGTCAGGGTCATAGCAGAGATAAACATGTACGAACACACACTGTTGATCAACCTTAACCCTGGTAATGTTATGTATGTTATATTTGTACATTTTGTGAAGTAAAGGATTCAATCAGGGTCATTATGCAGAGATACATGTGCGAACACACGACACTTGTGATTAACCTTAAGCTTGTGAATGTTATGTTTGTACATTTTGTGAAGTAAAGGATTCAGTCAGGGTCATAGCAGAGCGACACACACTAGTTATAAATTTCTTAAATATGATGCAAGAGGTATAGGGTGTTGTTAGTTTTAACATGCAGTCACACACGAGAACAGTCATACTATTGTTAAGTTTTTAAAGCTCAGTTTGGTCTTTAAATTTATTACTACATCTTCCAAAAGATAAAAGAATCTGGATTTCGAAACTGAGAACATGCACTCTTAAGATTCCTATGGAAACTGGCAGGTGGCACAATGTTGCAAGAACCGATTGTCTATGTACCTTATGTATTGAATGTGTTGGTGATGAATATCATTATTTATATGTATGTAATAATACTTATATCACTGAACTTAGGTAGAAATATATACCGACATATAATACAACACACCCATCTGTACTGAAAATGCAAAAGATGCTGTCATTATGTCACTGCCTTTTGTTGCATAATTAATCTATATTTTTCAGGAAACTATCTACTCTCATTTAGTAAGATGTATGTACCTAATAAGTTTTATGGTCTTTGGATAGTATACTTTTGTTATTAGTTCCATGTATATTCTGTCAATCATCATGTTCATTGTATTTGATTTGTAATTTGTCCTCATGTAACACATATTTTGTGACTGAGTGTAAATAACATGTTAAAAACATCATAAAAGGTGAAGAATGGGATAAATGACATATCACTTTCAGAGATACATGAGAATGCACTCTGGTGTTGAACTAATACATTTTGTGTGTCGTTAAACTGTGAATGTTTCATTAAACTGTTGGTGGGTCATTTAACTTGCTGTGTCATGAAATTGTGAGAGTGTCATTAAACTGTGGGGTGTCACTGAATTGTGAGTGTGTCATTAAACTGTGAGTGTGTCATTGAACTGTGGGTGTGTCATTAAACTGTGGATGGAGTTTTACCCTTGTCCGTCTGTCTGTACGTACGTCCCTATGTCCCAATGTTGGTTTCCGTTCTCTAACTTAAGTTTGCCTGAACCAAATGTTATGAAACTTATACACAATGATTATTACCACAAAACACAGATCAAGTTTGAAATTGGGTGCCGTCACGATAATGGTTCTTGAGTTATGCCCCTTTATAAACATTAAAATTGCTGAGTTTTTTCGTTTCCGTTCTCTACCTTTAGTTTGCCTCAACCAAATGTTATGAAACTTATCCACAATGCTTATTACCACATAATACAGATCAAGTTCGAAATTGGGTGGCGTCACTTTTACCGTTCTTTAGTTATGCCCCTTTATAAACATAAAAATTGCTGAATATTTTGTTTCGGTTCTCTAACTTTAGTTTGCCTCAAACAAATGTTATGAAACTTATACACAATGCTTATTACTACATAATACAGATCAAGTTTGAAATTGGGTGGTGTCACTTTTACCGTTCTTGAGTTATGCCACTTTATATACATAAGAATTGCTGAATTTTTCGTTTCTGTTCTCTAATTAGATATAGGAAGATTTGGTATGAGTGCCAATGAGACAACTCTCCATCCAAGTTACAATTTATAAAAGTTTAACTTTAGTTTGCCTCAACCAAATGTTATGAAACTTATACACAACTAGTTCAAAATTGGGTGGCGTCACTTTTGCCGTTCTTGAGTTATGACCCTTTATAAACATAAAAATTGCTGAATTTTTCGTTTCTGTTCTCTAACTTTAGTTTGCCTCAACCAAATGTGATGAACCTTATACACAATGCTCATTACCACAAATTACAGATCAAGTACAAATTTGGGTAGCGTAACTTTTACGGTTCTTCAGTTATGTCCCTTTATATGATATGCAAGCAGGGGCATCATCTGTGTCCCATGGACACATTCCACATTTATTTTAACTATCAGTGTGTCATTAATATGTGGCTGTGTCATTAAACTAGCGGTGTCATTAAACTGAGGATGTGTCATTAAACTGTGAGTGTGCCACTAAACTGTGGATGTGTCAGTACACTATGTTTGTGGCATTTGTATTTTGGAAGGTCATAGGTTTGTTCCCTAGTTTGGTCAAACCAATGTTTTAAACATTGAGATTAATTGCTTCTCTCTAAGGCATGCATAAGAGTAAAAATTAATAGTGTATGTGGGTAAGGTTAGATGTCTCCATACTCCTACTAACATGACTAACATGAATAACTTTACATGTTTGCATTCTGGATTCATTTAATATTTACCCCTGAACAATAACCATCAATCCATCAGGATATTCATCTAAAATGATAGAGCCAGAATTTACTATTATGGTGTTTATGTCAGAACCAAAACTCACAATAAATCAAGAGAACATATGTTGGAGAAAAAGTAGAGTTTCTGTTAATTCTGCTTTAATTGGCATTTTCAAAAGGAAAAAAAGGTTTGGTTATACATTGTTATATGGTCATTTTGGGATATATTTAATAACTAATTTGATAAGTATGCATGATTTGTTGGAAAATTGATTACTTGTTTCATTCACCTCTATACGACTTTCTGTGAACTTGTCACCTAAGTTCATATTTGAAATGGTGACTGTTTTATAATAGATCTATAGATGATAAATATATAAAATTGAGAATGGAAATGGGGAATGTGTCAAAGAGACAACAACCCAACCATAGAGCAGACAACAGCCGAAGGCCACCAATGGGTCTTCAATGCAGCAAGAAACTCCCGCAACCTGAGGTTGTCACGGAATAGAAGTTCCTTCATAATATAAGTTCCAAAAGGAAAAAATATTCTGGAATATTATTTCCACAGGAATAAATATTACAGTATATGTTCCTAACGGAATAAATAGTATAGAATATGAGTTCCAACAGGAATAGATATTATGACATTGTTTATAACAAAGTTTCCAGTGGAACTTCTGTTAGGCGGAACAAATATACGTTGACAAGGCGTCCTTCAGCTGACCCCTAAACAAATATGTATACTAGTTCAGTGATAATGGACGTCATACTAAACTCCAAATTATACACAAGAAACTAAAATTAAAAATGATACAAGACTAACAAAGGCCAGAGGCTCCTGACTTGGGACAGGCGCAAAAATGCAGTGGGGTTAAACATGTTTTTTGAGATCTCAACCCTCCACCTATACCTCTAGCCAATGTATGATAATGTCATTAAATTCTACAGTATGTAATGTATTATAATGTCATTAAAAGTATGGAATGTATGATAATTTCATTAAAAGTATGTACTGATTTATAGTGTCATTAAAAGGATGTAATGTATGATAATATCATTTAAAGTATGTAATATGTTATAATATCTTTAAAAGTTTGAACATGTATTTAATTGACATTAAAAGTATGTATCACAAATAAGCATGAACAAAAATACCAAACTCCAAGGCAAATTCAAATAGCCTAGGGGATTCCATAAAACAAAACTGACAACAGCAAACACGATCAATCAACAAAACAAGTGAAAACATATGTCATATTCCTGACTTGTTACAGACAGTTTTGCATGGCTTTCCAGTGGTTATCTGTTTCAGTCATCAGTAGTAAGTATAACTTATGTACTTTATAAATGTATATACAGTGTATGTATAAAAACAAGAGTGCACACGCTGAAATGTCTCGTCTTCTTTACTTATCATTGATATTATGTTGATAGTCCTAAATATAAAGCTTTATTACAACTGTCACATAAACTTAACATTAACCAAGAAAACTAAACATTGACTAATGAGCCATGAAAATGAGGTCAAGGTCAGATGAACCGTGCCAGGCAGACATGTACAGTTAACAATTCTTCCATATAACAAATATAGTTGATCTATTGCTTATAGTTTAAGAAAAACAGACCAAAACACAAAAACTTAACACTGAGCAATGAACCGTGAAAATGAGGTCAAGGTCATATAAAACCTGCGCGACTGACATATAGATCATAAAATATTTCCATACACCAAATATAGTTGACCTATTGCATATAGTATTAGAAAAAAAGACAAAAACTCAAAAACTTAACTTTGACCACTGAACCATGAAAACCAGGTCAAGGTCAGATGACACCTGCCAGCTAGACATGTACACCTTACAATCATTCCATACACCAAATATAGTAGACCTATTGCATACAGTATAAGAAAAACAGACCAAAACACAAAAACTTAACTATAACCACTGAACCATGAAAATGAGGTCAAGGTCAGATGACACCTGCCATGCAGTTGGACATGTACACCTTACAGTCCTTCCATACACCGAATATACTAGACCTATTGCTTATAGTATCCGAGATATGGAATTGACCACCAAAACTTAACCTTGTTCACTGATCCATGAAATGAGGTCGAGGTCAAGTGAAAACTGTCTGACGGGCATGAGGACCTTGCAAGGTACGCACATACCAAATATAGTTATCCTACTACTTATAATAAGAGAGAATTTAACATTACAAAAAATGTTAACTTTTTTTTCAAGTAGTCACTGAACCATGAAAATGAGGTCAAGGACATTGGACATGTGACTGACGGAAACTTCGTAACATGAAGCATCCATATACAAAGTATGAAGCATCCAGGTCTTCCACCTTCTAAAATATAAAGCTTTTAAGAAGTTAGCTAACGCTTTTCATTTCCATGACTGACAGCCACCCGCAATTGTTAAGCAACAAGAACTTAAAAAATGATTGTTCATTTGTTTTCCAGAAGTTGGGCTCTTTTAGCATGCAATGCATAGATCCAGTCTTTGCAAATTCGTTCTATAACTCTCAGCTGAGACTCTGATATAAGGTTGTTCCTAGAACAGTCAACTAATAATTCAAGAAGGTCCTCATCAGAATTAATTATACTGCAATAAGGGATCTGATTAACCTCCAGTAGGGATTCGAATCTATTGTGATGAATTTTTCTCACACTATTCAGACTTTCACACGTAACTAGGAAGTGTTTATAATCCTCAGGTCCTACCATGCACAATTTACATTCTGCAGATTTTGTTACGTTAAATCGGTTGGTATACGTAATACTTTGGGTTTTGTATGTTCCTGTAAGCATCCTGTATTTAACTATCCCTTTGCTAACATCTCTTTTGTGATCTGACACTGCTCCAACAGAGGTAATTCCAGTTGTTAACTTCCATGTATTTGAGTTGTTTTGCTTCTAGCAATTTCGGTCCATCCATTTTTCCAGGCTCATGTGCGGATGGAAGATCATAGGATCTGAGTATTTTGTCCACGTTTATGTACCAACTATTTGATTTGTCGTCTTCTCTTGCTAGCTGTCTAACTCCAATTTTACATTCAATTGAGTTCAGGGGCGTAGCTGCCGTTAGGCACTTTAGGCACGTGCCTACACATAATTTTTTCACAAATAATTTTTTTATTAAAAAAAGTAATAAACAATGTTATCTGTAGATGCATGTGAATTCGTCAAAACTCTTTAATTATCGAATGTCATGCGTACACTAGTCTATCATCCTTATTGAATCAGTGGCGTATTGGAACTGTATGTCATTATATTCCACCTAATATAGAAACTATAAACTAGAACTTTGGTTCAGATAATTCACTTCAATCAACAAATACTTGAATGAACCTCAACTTAGATAAATGATTTTTTTTAATTAGTTGTTGTTGGCCCAAGTTCAATCTGATGCCTAGTGAAGAGAGAAAGAATGCCACGCTCTCTGCACGTTAAGACACTTGAAACAACTCTTTGAGGGGTTATAGTAGGTTGTCTACTGAAAGGCAAATTTCTGTTCCTATTTAATAAACCCTCATTTTCCAATGCATGGCATTTCCAAATTTCCAGACCTTCATCCTGGACGACCTCTATCTGTTTTAGTCCTGAACATGCATGAATTATTTGCCACTGGATGTCTATCAATCAATCAATCAATCAATCAACTAGCTTTCAGTAACTTCGAGTACTCTCAGATCTACATGTAATGGCGATAATTATTCAAATTCCTAAGCAGGTAGGGATTTTACAGTACAGGATATAAGAAAATATGAATTTCTTGAATTTTGTTAGACACCGTTAGTATGAACAGAACAGAACTTCTGCATGACGTATTGACTGTGTGTGTGTGTGTGTGTTTGTGTGGCCGGGGGAGGGTGAAGGTTTAAGAATCAAAATATGAATGGTCGATGCGCCGTATTCCGAAAGTTAGTATTATCATGTAGTAGTCTCAGTGTTTACGTGCCTATTTTTTTTTTTTTTAATGAAGGATCGTCAATATGTACTATCAATTGACGTTTATATCAATTATACTCAATCAGAAACAGGTTGTGCTGCTTAATAAAGGGCTACGCTGATCCACGCTGGGCAATGCATATTGGAAATATTGTTTTTTTTTTTATATTTCCAATTGTACTGCCGGTTAATTCATCAGTCAGATGTAATTGTAGAATTATGTTTATTTTTTCGACACTGTTTTCATGTATATTATCATGATAAAATGACGTTTTTTTATGTTTTTTTGTACACAAAATTTTGCAACTTAAATGCTGAAAACCGTTTTCTGTCGGAGGGCTACGCCCCCAGAACCCCTTACCAGGGGCCTTGTGGGGCCCCAGACCCCCTACCGCAATTTGTGCCTACAGTTTATTGGATACCTAGCTACGCCCCTGGAGTTTGATCTTTTGATATTATAAGAAATAGGGAAATGACAGCTTTATGTATGAGTTGTTCGATAGTTTCTGCTCCGAGCAGGATATAGGTAGCAGCATCAGCAGTTCTTTGTGGTAAAGACAGAAGTTGTTTAAATGTCTTTTTCAGGAAAGTTTCTAATTTTTGGATATCAGTTTTTGGTAATGTTGAGAATTTCAATTCCATAGAGCATTCTTGGTATAACGTATGTTCGCCATAGTTTATATGATAATAGTGGATTTATACCATTTATTCCATGTAATACTGCACCTAAAATTGAATACATTGTAGCTCTTGCAGCAGAGATTCTTTTCTCTATGTTTGGATTGTTTTTCTCTTGTCTTTCATTACCTACATGTTTAATGTTCTGCTTTTCGTCGATTTTTTCATTAAAAAGTTGAAGATTTATTTCTTTATTCTTCTTTTTAATCAGCAGTATTTCTGTTTTTTAGCTGTTTATCTTTACCCGGTCATTTTTGGTACAGTTTTCAATGATGCGGAGTTGGATTGAGGCATCATGTTCTGAACCAGCACATAACATTATGTCATTTGCGCACGTTGGGCAGCCCACGTAATTGGTTCCAATTTTAATTCCAATGTTTGTGGATTCAAGAGTGGCAAGGACATTTTTGTTATAAGCCTTGTAAAAATTGGCAGAAAGGATTCCACCTTGTTTGACTCCCTGCTCATTTGCGAACTTTTCCGAGATGTATCCTTGAGATTTAACTTGAGTAGTTGTTTTGTTATATAATTCCTTAATCCGACAGTAACCATGTTGATCCGTTTATTCCTTGGTGAAATAATTTCCAAAAAAGATGTATATGGTAAACCACGTCAAATGCTTTTTCTGCATCCAGAGTTATTAGAATGAGACACTCGTTTTTATCATTGACTTCATTAATTGCTTCAGAGATGAGAAGAGCAATATTAATTGAAGATGCGCCTTTAGTGAAACCTTTCTGAAGCTTGTTTTGATGTTATTTAGAGTACCTTCGATTCTAGCTTTAATACAAAGCTCTAATATCTTACATATGATAGAAATAACTGTGATGCTTCTATAGTTGGATGGCCACGGTAAAGTAGGGTCTTCGTTTGTCTCTTTTGTGGACTGGAGTCAGCAGGCCTTTTTTTATGACCTCTGGTACATGTTTAGTAAAGAAGATATTGTTAATCAAGGTTACCAGGTATTCAGCCAATTCTGTGCCACCATAAAGTAGGTGTTCTGCAGTTAAGCCGTCTATATCACCAGCCCTTTTTCGCGTAGTCGGGATCTGTCGTACATCTTTTTCTACTGACTGGTTCCGTAAACAATACAATAGTAAACGTAAACCAGTTTAAAATCTTTTGAGCTTAACCGGTGAAGGCTTCACTGTACATAGAAATGCAGATCACAAGTTCTACATACTAGCGTATGGTTCCTCTGCAAAGGAGGTTAAAGATACAGAGGTAAGGTAAGGTAAGGTTTGAGACAAAGCAACAAAATCTACAAATCGAGATTGATGTTGACGCGGATATTTTGACAGCTTGTGCTCACCGCCACCGGCACCGCGTATCATCGGTACAGCGGATATAGGTACCAAGCGGTCGTGATCGAATTTTTTTCTGACACGGTATGAAAATCTTTGTTTTGTTTACATAATATCAATGTGTACTTCAGTCTAAACATAATTGTTGTTTTAAGAAATGATTTGGTCGTAGGTTGGTGATTAGAGAACACCATACAAATTTCAGAGAAAGGCATACTGAAACTATTAGAAAAGATTAACCCACACAAGGCCACAGGGCCAGATGGTATATATGGGCGTGTGCTTAAAAGAACTTAGTACTGACATCGCACCCATAATGACATTAATTTTCGAAAAATCCCTGAACACCGGAAAAATACCTACTGACTGGAAGCATGCCAACGTCTGCCCAGTATTCAAAAAGGGGGATAAACATAATCCTATCAACTACAGGCCTATATCCCTAACATGCATCCTATGTAAGATCATGGAGCACATATTAGCAAGTAACATCATGGCACATCTAGAAAATAACAACATTCTATACGATCTACAACATGGGTTTCGCTCCTCAAGATCTTGCAAAACCCATTTAGTATCATTCATACAAGAACTGGCAAATTATAGCAATGATAACATTCAAACAGTCGGAAAGCTGACCCCGGTTTGACCCCATTTCTTAAAGCAACAATGGAAGTCATGTGATTACCATATATGGGCATTTTTTTACCAAAAAAAGTGAAGCCCGTTTTTTGGAATTTGTAGTTTTTTGCATGAATTAAAACTAATTTGCTTTTAAGTGAACATTCTTGAGTATATAAGAAATATATTGATCCACTCAATTATGGATTAAACTAATTTTTTCTCTCAAAATGTGTCTTCAAAGTCTAGGTGTTGACCAAAAAAATTGGTCACTGGAAATTAAAATCGCAATTTTCTTTCTTAACTTCTCGGGAAGCTATGCTGAATTTAAATTATGTTATGTAACATAACTTTGACTATGATATGTCAAATTTGTGCCACTTAATACGCAAATGTGCCACTTAGATGTGTCGATATTTCTGACGAAGCGGGGCCGATAGTAATTTACGAGTAACGTCCCTTTGTTTCACACTCTCATGATCAAACTACTATTATATTAAGCACCTTATGCTGTTAGTTACATGAGAATATTATTAAAATAATTTTATTGAATATATTTTGATACTAAAGACATGTGCAAAAAAATTAGCGAAACACATTTTATCACTTTTCAGAACTCAGTCTTCGTGAAATACTCAAATAGGCCCTATGTCAGTATGTGCCATAATATTATTATTCCAAGAGTTAATTTAATATTTATATTTTGGTAAGTATTTATACTGCTGTAACCATGGTAACCAAATTATTTCAACACAGAAATAAATTTCTACTTTAATCATACAAGGGGTAGCCAAAATATTCATGAATAATGGATCAAGACAGGATTAAAATGATCAAATACAGGAACTCCTTTTCATTACTGATACCTGATCCTACCTTTTTCATTTAAACTTAAACGAGACCATAATGAAAGTATTCTGAATGTAAATTCTTCATTATTTGAAATAAAAGGAAATTAGTTTGCAATTCTTGTATGAACAAACTAAATATAACAAATAAATTTTGTCTCACTGATTCCATGCAGATTCTAATGAATGGACTCAAATTATATAAAAAAAACACTAAACCAATAAATAAATGGTTCTTAAATCATGAACTTGAAAATAGATAAGAACAAAAAAGACTATATCTAATATTTTTCTTCTTCTTAATTTAATTTGTTTTAACAATTATGCATTTTTATATTTATATACAAAGAATTTCAGAGCAGATTCTGAGTGCTAAGTCAACAATATTATGTTTTAGATCACAAGTCATAAGTAAGTCACACTTCATGTCAGTATGAACATGCTTTGAATAAGAGTGATTAAAATGCTAGTCTGAAAGAGATTGTTTTAAGTTCATATTTAGGACAAGACTTTTTCATTTACCTTTGGCAGTTTTGCAGGATTACTTCATCACATTTTTTTTATAATATTATAAACGATGAATTAGTTTTGGTTAAGGTTGTGTAAAGACAGTATATGATTTCCTTACCTTGTTTTAGTTAAGTCAAACAATTCACTGACTTAAGGTAGCACAATACAAAGATTTGTTCACCCCTAATCAGACAACTTTAAACTGATGTAATTTCTTTCATCCAGCTTTAAATTTTATAAATGAGGTACCAAAAGAAAGAAGAAAGATTAATCTTTCAAATGGTGATTATTTCATTATGACATGATTATTACATAATTAGTTATTATGTAATTAGTTGCTATATTGTGATGTCCACACTTGAATGAAATTAGCTTCTTTGTTATTCATACCATCCCAAAATATTTTATAGATTCTTGTGAAACACAGTTTGACCTCCAAAAGGGTGTCTCAGATTTTTCCTATTGTATTTCATTCTGTCATAAACCCTCAATGAAGTTTGCAACCTCAATTCATAAGAGATCACTAAATTAAATTGGGTATAAAATTTGTTCTATTGATGTTTTTGGAAATCTGAGACCCCCTTTTGAAGATAACTGGTCAAGGAACAACATGTGTGAAAATCAGGCATATAGGGGCACCCATCTAGGAGCTAATTTCATTTAAAACTACATTTTCATGACAAAAATGAATGTGCCACAATTGAATAAATAAGGATTTTCCTACTTGTACCCCATTAACTTCAATATAATTCACACATGTATCATGGGGATAATTCAGGATTGGCCTTTAATCATAAATCAATTAGGTTTTGACCAGTAAGAAAGCATTCCAATTCAGCAATTCTAAAGATATAAAGAAAATGCACACCCTAAGCATCAAAAATCAGATCTGGCGGGAAATGTTATATTATTGACCTTGCTGTAAGTCAGTTGCTACAGATATGGTCAAAACTCCGCCCACCATGATCAACCTTTACTATTAATGATCTCAGAAGTTTAATTACACATTGCATTTACTTTTTTCAACATGGATTTTATTCTTTTCGTACATAAAATGATATATTTTGTTTTTTGCATTGTTACAAAAAGTAAGTTATGCATGTGTACACAAAATGATCAGTTGGTCAGTCTAGAGGATCCTTATGGGGGATTTCTAGAATTATAATTGTATACAATGACAATATGGTGTTTTACACAAAGTAGATTTTTTTCATTTTTTGCAGTTTGAAAATGAAATATTTAATTTGTATTTTCTTTTAAAAAGAATTCATATTTGTACATTCTCCTCCAGAAATTCTAGTATAAACATCAGCAACATTTATTGTTGTACAATTATATTTTTTTAATATCTGTACATTTATATTTTGATTCCCTCTATAGCTCCAAATAGTTGTTTTGTTTTTTTCTCCTGGCAGCTCCAATACAGAAATGTATTTTATTTGGAATTCATTATCTTCATTTTTCCATAAATCCCTAATCCACCTCTTTTTCATAACTGTTATTTTTATTCTGGTCAGTGGTCGTAAAGCTATCAAATGATTCTATTGATTAACCACATAGTACTGCCCACATGTTCTTATCTTGTATCAGTCAGACACGTGCATTTGTTTATAAAACTAATTTTCATCAAAACTCTTTAACAGTGCAAGATATGTAAATATTTTTTTCTTCTGTGGTTTTTGAATATTAAAAAGTAACAAAAACAGCTGAAAATGAAATTTTGATAAAATTTAGTTGCTTTTGTAATGTGCTACCTTAAAGAGAATAATTAATCCAGTCAAATATAATCACAGCTGAACTCGCCATTGCTTTTTCAAACAAACACACTCACTAAATGTGTGTACATTGCGTAAAGATGCAAGTTGACATCGATGTGTAAGATAAAAAAACTACAATGTCAAAAAATGTCTTTCGTTCGGAATTTAGTTCGAACGGGGTTACCTAAGGGGTGATAGAACGTTAGACTTGATTTTTGTTTTACCTTTGAGATACTTATTATTAATTTTTATATAGTTTGTATATTCTTTGTTTATCTGGAAAAAAAAGAAGAAAAAAATAACAGACAATTTCGCACTGTAATTCTTAAACGACGATCAAAGGCATTACGTTATTTTTAAAAGACAGACAATTTATAACATGTTTAAGTATTATTTTCTTTGATAATAGGAAACCATGCTTGAAAAATCAAAAGAAATCTATTTCTGACCCTAATGGCAAGTAAGAAACAGAAAAAAGAAATAATTCCAAATTGGCGCCAAATTATTTTTTCCGCGAAATTAACGCAATTTCAGAATGGCGGGTTTTAATATCAGTCCCATTGTTGTCTTAAGAAAGTAGCAACAATGGTCGTTTCTAAGGGCTTGCTTTCCGACTGCAAACAGACGTAATTGTGATGGACTTTGCCAAAGCATTTGACAAAGTCCCTCACAAAAGACTACTTTATAAACTTAAACACTATGGTGTCAACAACAAAACATTGAAGTGGATAGAAGACTTTCTCACACTTCGCACACAAACGGTATTACTGGAAGGCACAAAATCTGAACAAATACATGTCACATCAGGAGTACCGCAAGGAACGGTACTAGGTCCCATCCTATTCCTGGTGTACATAAACGACCTGAATGAATATATTAAACATGGCACTCTTAGACTTTTCGCAGATGACAGCATTATTTAAAAAACCAAAAAAAATAAACATGACTCAGAAAAATTACAAGAATACCTAACAGCAGCAGCAAAGTGGAAAGAGGACTGGCTCATGTCCTTCCATCCGGACAAGTGTTCAGTCCTCCAAGTAACAACAAAGAAAACCCCTCTCCCATATGATTACATCTTACATGGGCACACTTTGCACCAAGAAACATCTACTAAATATCTTGGCTTAACAATACAAACTGATTTAAAATTTAACAAACACATAAATAACATCACAGCAAAT